GAAGTTTGGCAAACTTGTCTTTTCTTTGAGGAATAATCCGATGCCCCGTATTTGGCAAATAAACTAGTTTGGAATGATAGAACGGAAGGCAGCACTCGTACGATACGCTATCCGAGTCTAAAATTATCATCGACTCCTAGATTACATTTATTTAGGGGCAGTTTCTGCTTTGCCGCTTCTAAATGTTGGAACGATCTTCCACCGCCAGTTAAAACATGCAAATCATCATATACATTCAAATATATGTATAAAGACTGGCTGCTGAAACAACAGAAGACTTCGTGCTGTTGGTTGAAGGTAAAGTAGGTTCTGCTAAGTTAATATAATAACTAAAAATATAATTATGATTAATAATATACAGTTAAATTTCATTCTTCTCTAATTATGTAATAAAATGCTTTTTACACTTTTTTGCTGCATGGTCGGTGCGTGTATCATTTGTGGTTTAGTATAGGAATTTTAATTGGAATTTCTGTAGTATTTATATATAATAGTTTATAATTGCGGTGAGTGAGGTGATTTCTTCGTTATATACTTAATTAGAAATTGTATACTGCGGTGTCTACAGCGACAAATTAACTTGTACTTTACATTATACACAAGGTGAAGCCTGAAAACCAGCAAATTGCTGAGGCTATTACCTTTTCTTCAACACTGATTTATATTTTAAGCCACTATTGTAGGTTTTTATTCTCGTTGTTGTGTTGAAGAATAAAGTCTTTTTTTTATTTAAATACTTGTGAAAAAGTGTTATTTTGATTTATGAAGTTAATCTCAAGTCAAAGAATTAATCAGAGAAGACTGAATGTTATAGCAGTTGTCATAGCATTAATAATAATAACATAGTTCTTTAATATAGAAACGTGGTCTCAAATTATAGTTCCTCAACTAAGTAAATGTAATAAGGAGACTGAACTTTAAGTAACTTCAATATACGGCAAGGTTTGATTTTATTTCTATTGTTTATTGTCAATCGAAATGTGATTAAGGGTTCGTTCATATATCTGGGATTTGAACAAATAAATAACGCAGGAATTTTCTGTTTCGTTCTAATTTTATAAATGTACGAAATTAATATATCTACATAAATTACTATATTTAATCATCTCTTTATATTCCCAATCCAATTAAAACTTTTTCCGACTTGGGAACTAGAAATAGAAATAATTTATTCCTTGAATAAGCAGTTGTGTATACAAATACACTGGGACTCGAACTCTTACCGCAGCCTAACATGTATGCTTGCAATACCAGTGGCATTACTCAGTCGTTGCTAACACTACAGAAGGAAAGAAAGCGTGAAAAGAGGAAAGAAAAAAGCGAAGGGAGGGAATTAAGCCACCGATACTCTCAAAAAACTCAAGCAATGGAGCATGCTGCCACTTTACGTTGATGTTTTGTAAGAAAATACTAACAAATTGTGAGTTTCGACTGAATAAAACATTAGAAAATAGCATCAATATGCAGTGTATTTTTAGCAAAAACTGCTGTAACTTAATAGATACTGCAGTTATTTATTATATATATTATTATTAATTTGTTCTTGAATATGTAGTTTCTAGATTAATTAGCAGTACGATATTTATCTAATAATAAGTGCAGTATCGTACTTATCGTAGTTATCGTACTTCAGTTGTGTTACTAGAGCAGTTACTAAACATAAGTATACTTTTGAAATATTATTATACATGCCCTTAACATACATATATAAATATGTCACCTTACAATTATTCATTCTTTTACCTTTCTGTTGATATATGCCACGTCGCTGTAACGCTTTAACCACGTTTTTCTAGAAAACAGATTTGACGTAGTTACTCATTGACTTACAATTATATGGACGTCGGTCCGCGCTAAAAAGTGTCCGAGCTTATAGGACGTTAAAATCGCATACAGAGCGTCATTCACGCTTTAGTCTTCGTTTGTTCGACTGACAGCGAAGCAAGCAAAATTAGACAGTACTGCGATGACATTACAATTTAAATTCAACGTTTTAGCTTTTTCATATTCCTTTACATGTCACTACGTTTAAATAGGTTGACTTGGGACATTTTTTTCGTGGTTTTTGTATTAGTCCCGTCGTCCATTTATTTGTAAGTCAATGTAGTTACTGCACTCTTAGACAAGAGGGCAGCGCGGCTATAGCGCCATATTCCGCCACGAACACACGTTTTCAGAGCGAGTTTCATTACTATGTTTTACAATAATAACATATTCACATTAATAAACTATTTAAAATTAATATTTATTTACAAATAAATCGTATTCATTAAATGCTAAATCTCCTTACAAACAATTAAAAATCATCAAACTAACCTGGAAACAGATCGTTTGCAATAGTATTTTTGTCAGGCGCTTTTGTGTTCGAGAATGAGCAACGTCACGAAGTTGACCATTATTACTAGGAATTTTCATTTTAATTTTATTCTAAATTATTCACCATATAATTAATTTGATTTTGCATGAAGCAACAACTGAAAACCGCTCTACCTGGTCACCATTTCTCATCTTCTGCGAGCTACCGAACGGCAGGGTGCTCGGTAGCTCGTAGCTCGGTGCTCGTTTGGTGTACGCGAACCCACTACCCAGAGCTAGTATCTAAAACTATTGTATTATTATTCCTGTATCGGTAAACTTTCAAGTTTTTTTCTTTTTCCAATTCTTACCTAGATTTACGTTTATGTTTATTATAGTCTCGTAGAAACCAGACTATGATAAACGTACTACTAACTAAAAACGTCTCATCAAAAAGCTCGTGGTAAATTTTGAATTAAATTTTTCACATATATCCCGAATACTCCGAAATACGAACGCACAGTCTCTGCTTGAGTGGCGGTAGGTCAAACTATTGGTCTACCACAGCTTCAAAGTATTATTTTAAGCGATCTGATTAGTGACAATGTCATAACGTCAAATTTTTATAGTACAATGAAAAAGTTTCATAAAGCAATGGTGAACTTCCGTGAAACTCAAATGGCTAAGAAGCTTGACTTTAGCTCATTTTACTGTCCATAGGTCAATGTATCTCGAATCTTACTTAAAAGAAAACTAACCTTTAACTAAATCCTTAATATCTTGTGCTGTAACCCCGCTGCCACTCTGACGTACAACACAAGCAACCGCCAAGTCTCCACTTTCAGGGTCTGGTATTCCTGTTAAAGCCACATCTAATATTCCTGGATGTAATCTGATTACGCTTTCTATTTCTACTGGGGATATCTGTAAGTAATATTTATAAAATGTTACACTCAAGAAATGAAGCTTGGAGTATTTTATCGGAAGTAAATGTGGATGAAGAAAGGAAGCAAATTTTTGTAACCATAGCTTATTGAACGTTATGTAATTCATTATGCTACGTACAATTCCGTTGCAAAAAAATAATTAGCTTTCATTTCTGATATAATAAATTGAACCTAAAGTTGCTGTTCATAAAGTAAAAACCTTTGGCAAGTCGTAGTTAGCGAATTGGCCCTGTTGCCATGATCAAGTGTCTTCCTAGTTGGAATGACTTTCATTCCCACAAAATGCAGCATGTTGACGCTGCTTATTTAGTTGTAACAAAAAGGTGCTGCCGTACTTGAATTGAAGATCTCAAGATAACTAGCAACTGTAGCAGCAAAATTAATGCTACAAAATGTATTTGGATCTCATGTCGCGAAATTTTCTTTTTTTTTCTTTCTAAATCGTACCTATGTTATATTAAGAACGATCACCAGCTAAAGTACTGTCAAAACTTTGATTGGAAATAAGAAACCCTGATGGGTCTACCATGTCAAACTAGTGTATTTTGATATTACAGTTTATTTTGATATATTATCAAAAACACTGTAATATCAAAAACAGCATGATGAGAATATGCTGCAAAAAGGTTTTTTTTTTTCACGTTAACAACATAAAATACACATTTAACTTACTTGTACATTAGATATTAAAGAATTATATCTAGCCATTACAACGGACTTTGCAAAATAAGTTATGTCTATTAGAAAACGAATAAATTTGTCATACCGTGATAACAGCCGAAGGATTGTTATTGTTATGAAATCACACAACACTGTACTGGGATTGGCAATATTTTGATTTGACGCGATAGAGATGTAGTAATGTAAGATATCCTCACCAATTGCGGTCTCAAACTAGAGAATTCCCTGTACTATGATTACCAGAGCAATGGAATTTTGGATCACAGCCCAGAACACCCAGACCACAAACAATTTAGAAAAGTTAATTTCCGCAAATTGGTCCTCAAATCCCAGGTCCCCAAATCGAACCTGGGATCTCCGCATCCAGCGCCCACAATGTAAACAGTTAGACATCCGAGGTCGTCAAAAATTGAGATAGTACAACCAAAATTGAGATATCGTGGTTCAGAGAAACAGGAGAATCAGAAGATTTATTATATCGACGGTTCATAGGAAAATGGGACTAAGTGAAATTTTTTAAATTGTTCCGAGCATTTTAAAGTGTGCAAATTTATAAATGGAATCATTAAAATTCGGCCGTTTAATTAAATTTCAATTTTCTGCTTTAAACATAAGAATAGAAGATGTAGCAGTAGGGCTCCTTGATAGATAGATAGATAGATAGTTTATTTGCCACCATTTTTTCTTAATTTAGTTTATTTGTGAAAGAGTTCGCCCTAGGAAGTACTGTCATCTTACCTATTTCTGCCGCCAAGCAGTAATGTGACTATAACTGGTGAGGGTGCTGGTGAAATTAAAGTTGCATGGGATTCGTCAACTTATGTCTCAGAGTAACGGGCACAGTGGTAGTACCCCTAAGATCTTTGCGATTTAAAGCTCTAAATGACACAGCAACTGCTATAGATAGGCGTGTCGCTTACCACCAGGCGCACATGTATGTCCCGTCACTTGGTATTATAAAAAAATTAAATTATTCCAAGATACGCTGGAAAATCTGCTGATTTTCAATATGTTTAAAACTCACTATTCACATAGGTATTAGTATTTATATTATTTCGAATTTCAAACGTTACCACAACATAAGGACTCACGTGGTAATTCTTATACTTCAACAGCAATTTGATCCTTTCCACAAAATAGAAGTTCCAGTTCTCATCCCTAAATAACATGTCGCCAGTTTTTAACCAATGGTCTTCGGCAAATGTATCTTCGGTGGCTTTGGGATTGTGATAGTAACCCTGTAAATATAAAATATATACTATGACATTTCCACCTATATGGTAAATGATTTTAGATTGATTAAACTGTGTGTCCACCTAAAGCCTGGTATCCACTAGACACCAGACAACAAATGTTTTATTGAATGTCACGATGTTCACCATGATATTCAATTATTTTTATGAAATTACACCACTACTTTGTTATAATTATTAATACAAAGACCGAACACTTAGAAAAAATTCCTTCAATCCGGCTGGATTCGAACCAAAATCATTTTAAAAGGCTGCTGCTATGAAATCTTCACTAACCTTAAACAAACACGGTCCTTTAACCCATAACTCTCCAGGTTGTTTTGGTACGTTTATGTCTTTCCCAGTACCCACGTCTATTAGCTGAAACATGTATTAGGTATCTATTAATAAATAATAGTAATAATACATAACGCACACACTCAACATAGCCCCGCACTAGGGAAACCCTGTGTCGCGGGTGCCATGGACACACACGTAGACAACCACAAATTACACCCAAACTCACGAGAGCTAGGCAGAGAGGCGAGAGAGGCAGTTAATGTCTTTCTTTTTCTTGTTACCTGAGAGGTAAATAACTGCACTCCACTTGATGTTAAATGAAAAGTGGAATTCAAACGTGAAGGAAGTTAGTGCCATCATACATCCACAGTAATTTTACTCGCTCTTTTATGCACAATACGGCAAGTGACGTGCTCTTTTTGAATAACCAAATAACCCATGAAAAATGAAATAACACGTGTGTTAATCACACCAATGACTAGACTAAGTCCAGACAGTTCGTTTTGTTACCTGTCTCTCGAGTCTAAATGTATAAAGTATCATCTTTCTTTACAGGATAGGTAATATTGAGTTCTTGACACTGTGATGACTTTTCTTGTCGGTATTTTCATTTACATAGGTGAATAAAAAATCTTACCCGATATTGAAAGCATCCTAAAGGTTTACCACAAGAACCTGGAGGCGCGCCTTCATTACAGAAACTAATGCTGCTCATTTCTGTCATTCCAAAGACATCAGATATTTCTGTATTTGGAGTTATATTCTGGAATAACAAAATTAATATTTTAAGTCAATGATATACTTAATGTGCCGAGATTCTAAAGACCTTATAAATTAACGTATCCTAAAATCAAATCTACTATAAAATCTACTAGTAAAGAAAAACGTTCCATGGTTATTATGTTCTATTAATATAAATAATCCTAATAATTAAACTACTTTTGCTCGACACATTTCAAACCAGTCCGTGGTCCTTTCCGCAGCGGGTCGTCGACGGAAACTGCGCGCTAAAGCCCTGACAGCCCGGTCACTAAGAGTCGTATTCCAGAACTCTACTCAATACTCAAGTCAGGACTTGAGTATTGCAGTGAGCACTGAAAATCATACTCAAGTCTTTGCCATTACTGCTGCCACAATTGCCACAACTGCCTCCGTGGCCGAACGGTTACCATGCTGGACTGCCACGCAGAGGTCCCAGGTTCGATTCCCGGGCCGGGAGAAATATTTGTATGACCTACATTTATGTCTCTCGTGAGTTTGGATGTAATTTGTGGTTGTCCATGGCACACGCGACACAGGGTTTCCCTAGTGCGGGACTATGTTGAGTGTGTGCGTTATTATACATATTATACATTATACATTAGGGTCGTATTTCCAGTGCTTGAAATCATACTCAAGTCTGCTCAAATCCTGACTTGAGCATTGAGTAGAGTTCTGGAATACGACCCTCAATATGGGTGCGGGCGCATGCGGCGATGACAAGAAACTATCCTCGTTTGCTTCATTCTCATTAAAGTGCAGACAGCAAATGAGGGTGGGTTCGAAAAATTCGACTTATATACGTGACTTATCCGTTAATTTATCCTTTCCTTTCCTATACTTTATTCTTTAAATACCATTTCTAAATGGTGCATTCGAGGCTACATAATTGGTGGTATCTTCTGTGAATATAATTTTATCATAGTATTATAACACAAATACGGCAACTCCCGTCTGTTAAAATTGTCCACAGACCAAACAAAGATTGTCACATACTTTTTTTAGTTATACCTAAAAGATGCAAACATAATTTCAAAAAAAACAAGGTGTTGATCACATTATTCTAGTGCTATAGTGCTGTATTGAAATAATCTTTGTTAAACGTAGTACTTACGTATTGATATTTTTATACATCATTCAGCATCGCGGATTGGTATCTCATAAATATAAAATATATCTTCGATTTACACTTGACAAAAACCTCAGATTCAATCGGCACGTACACCGGTTTGCACAGAGACTAAGGAAATTGATTTCACACAAACACACACACACCAGACATACATTTTCGTAATTGTTAAGTGCTTACCTTCTAAGTCATAATTATTTTCGTGGTGGCCTGGAAACTACCGCACAGGTTTCGACCTACTTTAGCTTCCAGCTTAACGCTATAATTAAACATACCAACAACAAAGGTCTGCAACAAGCACATAGATAGATTCGTTGGGTCTGCTGGTTCGTTCCGTAGCTTAGATGGGAGAGCGTCAGTATGCTGGAGACGCTGGTTCGAATCCAACCCGATCGAATGAATCTTTCTATGTGTTCGATCTTTATATGAATGGTTATATATTCTTTTAAATCTGTCTCTCGTAATCAAAATTATTATTATTATTACTGTTAGCATCGACAGACGGGAGGCGTTCATTACAGGACGAGTTTAGTAATACTGGTCTTTCAGTTAAATACCTTCAATTCTTTAATAAGATCAACAGGTGCAGCACTGCCACCCAGTAACAAAATTTCAAGGCAAGTGAAATCACACCGGTCCCGGTCTTCAGGTTTGATCAGGGTGATCATGAACGGTGGACTCATAATAGTGAATGTTGGCTGTAAGAGAAAAGGTTACAAATAACGACAATTTTCACACTCGGTGTTCTCAGCCTAATTACCGTAGCCATCTCGGTGTCCTCAGTCTAATTACCGTAGCCATTGTTTGTTTATTGCTTAATGTACCTAATGACGTTGAAATATGAACAACTTTAAGCTTAGCTATCAATATCTCTAAATGGCATTAGAATAGACAAAGTCGGTTTTGAGATATTAAGAAACAAATATTTTATGGAAACGGTAATTAGATCTACGGTAATTAGAAAGTTCAAACATTTTTAAGATAAACCGACTGTATCTGATTCGACTGGTCATTTGGTTATTTCTACTGATACAAGTGCCATTCTAGATTTTTCGAATTTTCGTGGTATAAAATTTCGTGGTAATGATTAAAAATTACTCCAATTCTTTCTTATGATTAATGCCAGCTGTTACAAGAACACTATACTAATTTATATTTTAATTATTTCTGCCGATAAAAAACCTTAAAAGCATAAAAAATATATTTTATATCGGTGTAATTCATTACAAAAAGTGAAGAAAATTAAAATCAAAGTTGTTTATATGTTGCTAGTTGTTCTTTATAACTTTTATCTTTTTGTTTTATTAAAAATGTTTAAACTTTCTAATTACCGTATCCATGGCTACGGCAATTAGATCTAATTACCGTTTCCATAAAATATTTGTTTCTTAATAACTCGAAAACTACTTTGTCTATGCTAATGCCATTTAGACATATCGATAGTTAAGCATAAAGTTGTTTACATTTCAATGTTATTGGGTATATAACCGATAAATGTAAAAGTCTCGTACTGTTAATAAACAGAGCATAAAACTCTATAGCAAATTTGCGTGATCACAGCGGTTACTAAAATTCAGACAGGACATTTCAAAATTTACTATCGAGACTTGGGCCCAAATTTGCTAATTCTCTTGCAATCAGTGGTCATTGGAATTTCATTGAAATTCCGCTGAAATTATATTGGAATTAAGTATGACAATATTTGTTATTCTGCTGAAATTTACACCCTTATTTATGAACAAAACAAAAGTCGCACATAAGAAAATTCTTCACTAAGATCGACTTGAGTGAAACTTTTGCTTAAGTGCGACTTGGTGTTGTTTGACATTTATGAATATTTTTTTGGCTCGCTCTTATCCAAGGACAGTCTCAAGTTTTACTTTGAAGTCATTAGCCAAAGACAGTACTTGTTTTTTCAAAAATTAAAAAAGGGAATTTTTAAAAATTGTTTTGTAGTCTGTGGACTTTTGTTTGTGGCAGTTAACAAACAATTACATTTGCCTTTTCTTCAGCGGAAAGAATAAAAAATTCTACATATTCTAGAATAAAAACTGTTTCGACCTTATTTGTTACAAGTATTTAAGATTCAAAGATTAATATTGATTTTTTATATTCGTATTTAAAATATAATAATTAATTATTATGGCTGAACTAGCACTAGCGGGAAAATGGTGTTTACAACTATTTCTTTGGAAAATCTGGAACATGAAGATGAAAACCTTTGAAGATTAGAGTTATCTCTCTCTGTTTAATTGTATCACTTGCTGTAAGGATACGAATTATTTCTATACCTACCTGTATTACAATGTGTTGAAGTGTCTGTTGAAATAACTGAAGTATGAAACTTCTTGGGTTCACACCTAGTAAAGTCAGGAACTCGTTCGTGTTCGAATTCGTTCTCCAGATATTTAGCCATGAAGGCCTCAAAGTCGTTCATTTTCAAAATATTCTAATACAAATTTGTAAACCAAAACAAGAAAGAAAGTAAATACGTAAAATAAAAAAAAATGTCAGAGCAACTCAAGAGAAAACGCAAATAACCAGTGATAAAAATGTTAAAATATTTCCAAGTCAGTTCTAAGACAGCTAAAGACTGGTTATATACAAGTGCGACTTAACTCGATCTTGAGGAGACATAAATTGTACATGCCTACAATGTTTAAGCCTATAGCAGCGCATGAAAATTTAATCGAATTTACAGAGTGTCTCAGTGAGATAAATGCCCTAATTGAACTTAATAGTGTGGAATCCGTTTTTATATTTGGCGACTTCAACGCGCACCCAGGTGAGCGGTTTGCAATAGAATTATTCGATTTTTGTTTTGAAAAATCATGGTCATGTGTAGATATCGATTTATTATCTGTGGATAGTTATACGTTTATGAGTGAGGCTCATGGGTATCACCATTGGCTCAACCATTGTTTACTGACAAGTGCGGCGCGACTTACTGTGGTTACCGCTTCTGTTTTGTATGGTGTTTATTGGTCTGGTCATTATCCGTTACAAATTGAAATTAACGTTTGTTTAATTGTATCTAAAGTATTGAATCACAAAATACCGTATAATAAAGTAAAAGTCTGGGGAGAAAGAGATAGTGATCAGATAAATAAATATTTTGAATTCTGTAATTTGAAATTAAAAGAATTGGTTCTTCCTAATGTGTTGAAAAAATGTGGAAACAATTTCTGTTTTGTTGAATCGCATAGGTCGTTATTAGTTTCAATGTATCGTAATATTATAGGTATACTTACAGAGGCTTCAGAGTATAGTTTTCATAAATTGAAAACTAAAAGCCATATTAATAAACATAAACAAATACCTGGCCTGTGGGTCAGTTAACGCGGCGGACATACGGAGCACTGCACATCCACTATAACAATGAGTTCAGGATGCTGTTCCGACTTCCACCTTTGCGTAGCGCGTCAACCATGTGTGCTGAGAAACATGTAGACGATTTGTACGCTATCATGCGAAAGCGTAATGCATCGCTACTCCGTCGCATGCGTCTCAGTGCCAATAGCATCCTGAGCACATTGGTTTTTATTTTATTACTTTAAACCTAACACTAGCTTAAGTATTTTTCTTTACTAACAAATATTATGGATGAATGTAAGTCTGAAATGAATGGATTATTATTATTATTATAAAAATCGTTCATAAATACCAATGCTTGACTTAAGTCGCACTTGAGACTTGTTTCATGCTTAAGTCGGACTTATCTTTGTTCATAAATACGGGTGTTAGTGTCAATGGCAATTGAGTATTAACAGAGTGTCAATGGAATGGCACTCATTCATTCAATTTTCTTTTTCAATTCAATTATCATTAATAATTTTTATCTTGTTTATTCATCAATTTAGTCTTCAAATTAAATATTATATTCTTTTAATCATATTATCCTTGCCTACGTTACTTACCTTATAAGTATTAATAAGGTAATACGCATGTTCCTGGTTGAATACTGAAGAAGTCTGAAGTCTGGTGTATCTTAAAATGGGACAAAGGATAAAGTTAAGAATAGCCGACAACCACTGAAGCGGCGACCCTATCAGCGCCATGCGAGTCGGTGTTGGAAACTTGAAGGATTTGATCCTGTAATAAAAATAATAATAATAACGCACATACTCAACATAGCCCCGCACTAGGGAAACCTGTACGTGTCCATGTGTTGCACCCGCAACACATGGACACGTACATTGACAACCACAAATTACACCCAAAATCACAAGAGAAATAAATATAGGCCATACAAATATTTCTCCTGGCCCGGGAATCGAACCTGGAACCTCTGCGTGGCAGTCCGGCATGGTAACCGTTCGGCCAAATATCATAAAAATTTGACAATATCACAATATTGGTCTCCGAATATTTTTAAAAAATGGATTTGCCTTGCAACGAGCTTGCAATTTAATACACAGAGAGAAGCTGCTCTTAATCTCGTGGGTTTTATTCCTTAATAGCAAGCATTCTACAACAACCACGGGAATTAAATATTGCGTATAACATATATGTATACTGCAATATTTTATACAATCATAATTTTTTTATTAAAATACTCCATTAGTTTGTTATTATTATTCATACAAAGATCGAACAAATACAAAGAAAAAATTCTTTATAGCCACGTTGAGGCGATAGACTCTGGTTCAAGGCCAATCGGATTGTTAGAGATATTATCTTTATTACAATAAATACAGAATATATTTAAGGAGACGTACACACATGTCAGTTGCTGTCGCTGTACTATTTTTAGCTTTCTAATTTGTGATTTTTTATTTAAAAGTGATATAAGGCCCATTTACTTGATAGGTTGCCAGGGATAGATAGCCCTTATTTCGTCTCTATTTCTGGTTATATACTCGATGATGACTACGCTTCGATAGTAAGATTTCGTTGATATTTAAAATTTGCCATTCACGATTTTTGAAACTATAATGAAAACAAAAACTTTGTACTAAAGGTAACTAAGGTAAAATGGTTGTAACAAATCCATGGCAGTGACCAAATTAGCTCTTGCAGGTAGTCTTGATATGTGATGTTTGAAATATAATTATAAATTATAAATGTGTATTATATAATGTAGGGGGACGTGGGGTATTGGGTACCAGCGGGTAATGATGTTAAACTGGACTTTCTCAATGCTCGTATTTGTGCAAACGGCACTCCTATGTCTCCGTTAACATTCGACAAGGTTCGAGTCCCGTGGGCGCCCCCGTAGAACCCCGCGTTTAGTTGTATGAGATGGTTCTGTGTTTTTCACTTCACGCTTTCAAAATTTGCTAAATTTCATCATCCCAGGTAAGCATTAAAATGTATAGACACTACCTTGTATTTACACTAGCTATGTCACCATATTTATCAAAT